AGCTGGAAAATGTAGCCTCTTGAAAAATGCAAGTGTGGAGATGATCCGGACATTGCTTCTCCAGCCCTGGTCTTCTGAGGCCTTGAGTGTAAACACATATTTTAGGACGTGGTGGAACACTTGAAGCACGAGACCGACCAAATCAAACTACGCGTGTTAAACATGTTCGTGATAATTTGTACAGGGCAGAAAAGTCGGTAAACTACTATAACATTGCCGCCCAGTCATATGCCATAACTAGTACATACGACGGGGCTAAAGCCTGCGCCCCTTCAGGACACACAATCCGTAATCATGTTGCTAAGGTCCCTGACCAAAAAAGACGAAAACGTCTTTTGCAGTCAAACACCAGATACAAGCCCAACACAAAGCTAAACCTGCTTGACAACTGGGGGGATTGGGCTCTGTTTTTGTGCAGCCACCCATCAAGCAGCGGGTCGAAGATGGTCGAAGTCTATCGGGTTTAGGGTTCAAGCCTTCGGGCCATCTTCTTTCTTTAAAGAACGTTGGAAGGCTCCGGAAATCATTCGAGCCGAGTTGCTAAAGCTGTTATGCATGGAAGGGTTCGAGGCATCAACCGAGCCGGCTTCGTACATCTTGTCTAAGCCTAGTTGAGTCTACTGATTTCTTGAATCCGCTACTGCCTCCAACGAAGCTACAGGTGCTGAGCAAGTTGGTGTCAGTGCGCCTCCCCTGCAGGTTTTGTTTGGCAAGCTTGCATGCAGCCGTGCGTGTTGACTTTGCTGTACATGCTGCATAAGGATGCTGTTCGCAGCGTGGCGCGCGTGTTCCAAACCTAGGTTCCCTAGCGCCTTTTCCGGGCACCAACCAGCATAGATCCAATTCAGCTCCTTGCACCCTTGCGCTTGTCCTCGACTCTACGACACATAAAGAAGCTAAGTGGCGCAGACTTAGCAAAGTCGTTGTACAGTGCCTCACCGAGGCCAACAATGTGGATCACGTTCTCCGTGCCTAGTAATTCAGCATCAAGAACACGTCATTGAGTATCACTAGCAACTCTAACTTACATCTTCAAGCCGCGTGTCACTGACCGGAAGCGCTGGGAGTCCGGCTTGCGCGGCGTCCGGACTCCTGCACTTGCAACATACAATCACGGCATGACGCAGGCTTCTTCTCCTAACATGCCAAAACAGCGGTGAAGAAGGTTCAACGCTGGACCCGACATGCGGGTTTACGACATAAGGAACCCCCAATATAGTCCGCCAAATAGTAGGATTCCCATATAGCAGGGAGCCCAGTAAGGTACCCCTAACTTCGGAGACCCCCAACTTGTTTCAGAGGGCATTGTGCAAATTTCGCCTGGCCCCCTCCGTGGAGCAGCGCGGGGAGATCCTTGCAGCAAGCGCTCCCAGCTTAGAGTTAGCACTTCATTTTGTGATCCAGGCTGGCATGGAGGCATTGCAAAACCATCGTATTCAAGATGCTCCCGTTTCAAGGGCCAGCACCAAGGCGGTGACCAACACCTACTGCACGCAAGCCGCATGCAGTTTTCGTGATGTGGCTCAGCTTGCAGCTGGCACGCGCGAACGCTTGTAGAGGGCCTCAGTTGCAGGCGGAGCTGCACACTTCCAGCAAGAAAATTGCAAAATTGTGCGCAAAGCTGCTGCGTGTAAACCCTCATTGCTGTTGGCCGCTCCAATATGTGCCTATGAGGGCTGCCGAGCTGTCACGTATGGCACGTCTACTCAGAATGTAAGGCGGCAATAAGAGCGCAAAGAACAAAAAAAGGGCATCCCATGTGCGGGCCGGGCGGCCCCCGGTGGAATCGCAACACCGTGATTCAACAAAATAATTTTCTTATACGCCCTTAGGGCCAGACCACCCCATCCTCCCCCTCCTGTCCCGGGGCACACAACCCTGATTCTCCGGCGCAGATGGCGCTCACAAAAAATGTTCTTAACTCCCCACCCCGCGTGCAAGAATGGCGAATTTCGCTGTCACAAAAGGATGGGGACTGTTGCGCTCGCATCGAGCGCTCACGGTTATTCCGCGGTTACTCCGACTTTTCCGCTATTACTGCACTTGCTTAAGACGAAGCCGCCGGTGCTTGATGCGGCCAAGCCACACCCACACCCTTTGGGGCGTAGAGTTTGTGGCCGGCCATGGTCAGCAGGTCAATGCCCAGCCTGGATGCTGGTCCTTTGAAGACCAAGCCTACCCTACCGTGTAATGAACGAACGAGAATTCCAAGGACGATGTCGCCGGCCCCGATCGCACTCCCAGATCTCCCACTAACTTGCTAAGCTTGCTGTAACTCCGATCGGCCCATTGTGAAGCTCATGGCACTTTTGACCACTCATCGAAATCCTCGTTCTGTGCCTTCAGGGTTTCCTTCACATGGCCACCATCCGACCGGGTTCTATTGTTGCAAAAACGATGATGCGGCTGCATGACTGCAACCAGTTTTTTTGCCTCTGCGAGGCCTCGAGGCCATGAGCCCACGAATCGTTGCTCCCTACCCTGTGTGCGCACCGGTACTGTATGAGCCGAGGCAAGCATGCGTTTAAGGATGATTCTGATTGCAGGTGCACACAATGTAGATGAACAGCTGACGAACAAAGCACCGTCGAAACAGAATCTGGTGCCGCTAGGCAGCAAGTCCACGTCCACAGGCAGCTTGCCCAAGCTCCTCAGGCAACGTTTCAACAATGGAAGGCACAACCTCTTCCAGCACATGCGACGAGCTCGAAAGATTCAATTAATCGAGTCATTAATCATTAATTGGTGCCCAAGTCTCTGCGAAGCATCGCAGTGCACGTAGACCTTCACAGAGCAGTCGCCCAGAGCACAGTTTTGAAGAGCGACATGAGCTTCACAGCATCGGGCCATGCAGCTGTTCATTCCAGGATTCAACGAGGTAAGCTTACATGGTCAACGGAACGGTTGGAAATCCAGCATGGCTGACTCGGAAACCAGAAAACACCGCTGGAAATCAGGAAGCCACATGCATGCTCCGGAAGTACGGACGACATGACTCGGGGTCGGCATGGGCTTGGATGCTCGGAGTACTCGCAACATCTCGAGGCCGCGAAAAGTCTGAGTTCAAGGCGGTGGGTGAAGCTTTCCTGCGAACACCGGAGCGTGAAGCAGGCTATTGCACATGCTGGAACCTTGCCAATGGTGACTGTGGGAGCTGCGATCCCAACGGGATCAAGATGGGCCAAAGTTATACCAAAAGCCAAACCAAGTCGCACCTGACCCTTGAAGCGATCTCTCGGATCGGCTGAAGCGCGCCCGTCTCGTTGTTGGAATGCCTTAGAACCCAGACTACCCACATCACTAGGATGCCATGCCTTCATGCTCTCTCAGTGTCGAGGACCACTCCTTCGAAATCAAGAGCCCAACTTGTGAATCATCCACAGCGTAGCCCACTGGAGCGTGTTACCACACTCGCCATGAAAAGCTGCTTACGTGAGGCAAGCTACATAATGCTGACGCAGATGGTCTGCGGCGTCATTGCTGCCTACTCGGGGCAGCGGGTGAACATGCATCTGATTGCCTGTCAAGCCATGAAGGCATGGCACACTTCCGCAGCCCACTGCGGCGAATGCTTCAGGCCGCTACAGTATGCTACAGTCCGGCAGCCTGAAGATCTTGAAAATCCGAAGTTGGTGCAGTTGGAAGATCGGAAACGGCGAAGGTGCAAAACCGCAAAGACACATACAAGTACATTCCTACATACCTGTTCATAAACATCTCAGCGGAGTGCCTCCACATCGGCCGGGCTTACCAAGCCTCGCGGCGGGGTCACAGACACACGTTCAAGAACCCATGCCAAGCGAGCTTCAGGGAAGTCTCCAAGCCCCACAGACTACAGTAACTACAGGTTAAGCCCTGCAGGCACCGGCTATTATGCTGCCAACTTGCGCTGCTGGATACTAGTGGCTTAAGCGTTGCATAAAGCTTGAGATTGCTTCGGAGGCCTTCGGCGTCCACGGGCAAAACTGTCACCTTCCAATTGCTTTGGTGTTCTTGAGCTGAAGTCAAACAGCATTGCTCCGAAAAACCGACTGACAGAAAGGTCGCTCACACCTGGCAGCCCCGCAGCTCCAAGGCACGGCAGACCTGGCAACTGTGCCATGGCCAGAGTCTCTTGGGCATCTTAATTTTCTTGAGATTCTTTAACATTCTTTGTCCCATCTCCAGGCCAGAGTACTCAATGCCCAGAATCAGGAAGTTTAGCGACCAACACCCCGGATCGCCGCATGATGCCGAATTTCAATTCGGGGACAGACAAGTGGACCTCAAGACTGTTCGAGAACGGTCAGCCGCGTTCAATCGCATTCGAGCCGCCTCAAGCACGGCCACGTGCTCAGAGGCCTGCAAGGGCCAACAAAGGATTGGTTTCTGCAGTGAAAAACCAGCATCTCGGCGCATCCTGCCTGCGTTATGAAGTGTCTCCTGCCTGCGGAAATGCACCCATCTTGCCCAGATGCGCATGCCGTAAGAATCTCGGTGGGTGCCCGCACGTGAGCTTTCAATTCCAACATGTGGTGTCATCTTCATGTCCTTCTGTCTCGCCGAGTTCCGCCAAGCCTTTCAGCGCCTGGGCCAGACAAGCTTAGATTTAGACGAGAGATCGGCTCTACATGACTGCGCGCCCTGATGCAGGCTTGGCAGCTTGCTTGATTGATGGTCTCGGTGCCGTTGGACATGAAAGTAATCTCTCCTTCAGAACAGACACTGCAGTCATGGACTGAAGCTGCACCACAGGTCCGGCAACGACAATCCCAAAGTGTGGCATTAAACGCGCAGCAATTGGCAAAGCCTCCTGCAGCCTCTCTCTCCTCTCACCGCCGCAAAGTCTCCCACGCGTTTGCTTTTTCCAGTCGCGTACGCGAGGGTGAAACATCATCCGGTCAACATGTGGCTCGTGGTCTGGACAACGGCCAGACCGGTTCAGTTGCAGTCGGGACCAGGAGTCATTACAAGAGCATCCTGCATGCGTATCGCGCAACACCTGCGCAAAACCGATCAGCTCAGCGAAGGAGCTCGGATGCCTTGGCCTTCAGGCTCAAAAACGTATCTGAAGCCTTTGACAAAGACTGCTTCATAGCCCGCATCTCCTGTCGGGCCACGGTGTGTGTGGAGACATGACTACTCGTAGAATGACTACAACATGCAATATTCCACAGGCTGTTGCTGCATGTATCATGTTGTTACCTGGTACCATAACCATCCCCTTTGCAGCTTTAGGGTCCTGCGAGAGGCTCTCTGCAGTCTGAGGCTTGTCCTGCGGGACACTGTGGCCAAAGCCTAGAGATGAATAGGGTCATGATATATAAGGATACAGTGGGTTCAAAGGCGCTCTGTGATGTCTATGGGCTTCGTCGTGGCCGGGCTCTCGCAACTTAGTCTACAGTGTCAAAGAAGCAAGTCACGCTGTGTCCTGCGCGGGCATGCAGCGTTCGCATGCCACGTCTGTGTCCTTCGGCAGGCTACAAGGGAAAGCACCAGGAACAGCAGGGTTGCGGGAAGGTCTCCGTTCATTCGTCCCACACGAGCTCAATGCCAAGTCAGCTAGTGCACCATGCCCCAAGCAGCCTGGACCTCGACTCTGGCAAACGACATGGTGCCAAAACGATGTTCCACTGGCGCCTCGCAAGTTCAGTACAGCGCCTGAGACTCCGTATGGCGCTCGTGTTCATGTTGGGGGCACTAATCAGATGAACTTATAAGACAACAAAAGCGAATGGCAGGTGGAATTCCGTGTCGCAGTGAGTAAATTCCTCTGCAGGTACTCGTTTTGGATTCCGAACGCTCTGTTCTGCAGTCAGACACCAAAGTTTGTTCTGCAAAGGATAGGATTGAGAAAGTACTTGGAGCGACGAAGGAGGTGGACAGAATGGCCAGGAATTGGAGAGCTTGCAAGGGAAGATCTTTTTCTTGGTGTCAGGTTCTAAGGACTTACTGACTCCCATTGATGGAGGTCCGATATTGTCAGTGAGAAACTTGCTGCTGAGGAGCCTCATGGGGGGGAATTGCGCCTAAGAATTGGAAACGATGTTCACAATTGCATATTCACCTCGCATCAGCAAACAATCGTAAGCTCCCATGGTGATCTGGCGATCGCTGTTTCCAAGGGCTGCGGACCACGGCACACTACATGTTGTGGCTCGAGAGCAAACCAAGACTTCAGCACTCCCCCCTAACAAAGATTAGATCTGCTGTTGCTGCTGCGGCCTTATCAGCATTCTCGCAGAGAAAGCCCATGTCAAAGAAATCGAAGTGCTGCACACCTTCACCTTCAGAGTCAACAGTCCAGACATTACAGTCAGCGTGTGCTCCGTTAGTCGAAGGACATAGTCAAGTCTGGGTGTCGGGCACTCCGTCTTCAAGAAACATGTCCCGGACGTCCTTTGTGCCACAGCAACATGTCAGCAGTTCGACTGAGTTCCGGCCCATCCGAGGCTAGTGGGACTTGGTCGTCCAAAGCGTTGCTAGCAAAGTGTCGCGTCCCGCCACGTGGAAACACAGTTCTCAGGGCCGAAGGCGCCTTGGCAAGTTTTCTCAGACACGAGCACGAAAACAAAAGCGAAAACTGCTCAATGATATAACAAGACGGAAACTGCTGAACAAGAATTGGCGCGGCAGAGTAGCGGATCATTGAAGAAGCGCCGAGGTTCGAGTTCACCTGCAATTCCCCCGGACTCGTCCTCCCGACTGCTCAAGTGGTCTGCCCTCCCAGCCCTCCCCAGCACACCGCCCCACTGCACAGCTTGGCGGTGCACGCACGCTTATCTGGCGGTTCGGTAGGGGTGCTTCTGCCCACGAATTTTGCTCGGCACTGGCATTGCCCTTCATGTTGTTTCGCAGCGTCATCTCATGTCATCCTTCGTTTCCATCTGTTTCCATATCTCCCTGTTAGTCAGCACAGACTCAAGAACATGCACATGCATGCACCAGCAGCGTAGATCCGTGAGAACACCGAGAGAACACGGAGAGAACAACTCCTCTCCAGCTCCCCGGCCTCGGCAGCACGGTGGAGGGCCGCGCTGCGGGCCTGGTGTGCCTTAGCTCCGCTTCCATAGCTGCACAACACCAAACATTTCGTCGAGCCGCATCCCCAGCAGCAAGTTGCGACGACATGTTTGCAATCAGAAAAACAGTGGAAGGGAGAAGGGAGAACGGCCTCGGTCTTGGATGTAAAAGAGCTGAGAATCTGCTCAGACGCATTGCTGTACAGTGATCAAAGTGATGCTTCAGGCCGGACTTTTGCGGTTGAAGCTCGGTCCGGTCTGTCGGCCATACTTTCACGCCATCTTAAAACCTTCGTGATGAGCCTTCTAGATCCTTCTGCCTAGGCCTTCCAATGGCGGGCCCCTGTGAACCCTACAACTTAACAAGGTTTTCAGAAGCCTCTGCTACCCAAGGGTTCTCTTTTGCTCTCAGTCACAAGGTTGCCGCCCTCAAGACACACAGAAACACGGGCATCTTCAAAGCGCAGAAGTCCTGGGTCATGGCAAAGGCCATAGCCTATTCAATGATTGCACTGCAATGCAATCAATTTATTTGCATTGTCATGATTGCCCTTAACTCAAAGTTTTTTTCACAAGACGGCCCCTGCGTTCTCCGAGACTTAACAGGGTTAATGCTTGAACCGCGAGGTTTCGTTTCTGCAGTCGCTTGTGGAATGCACTTCGGCAAGTTGTGAGTTATGCAGAGAGTAAAGGGCGGAAAACAAAAAACTGAGAGTTCTGGTTCGAAGAAGTAAGTCCGGAGCCAAAGTTCAGGGCTTGGCTAGGATTAAGAGCCTGGAGGGTGTGGGAGGGTGTGGAGGGGCGAGGGCTGACTTTATCCTGACTAAGATTATTTATGTAAAGCCAACTCTGCAAGCCGCTGCCGGAAGCCGGGTTTATATCAACATGTGAAAGTTCGAGTGCGAAGTGGAGATTTCCAGTTTCCTTTCCGACTCGTGCCCGGCTGCCCCGGCGGCCAGCTGCCGAGCTCGGGGTGCACGTTGTTCCCAGGCTGCCAGTGCCGCATGGAGCGAGGTCTCTGCCATCTGTCTGTCCTGCGGAGGAGCAGCATGCAAGCATGCAAAGACGAGGGCGAGGGAGGCAGAGACATGGCGAGAGAGAGAGAGAAGAGGAGGAGACAGAAAAAAACTCAACTACATCTCAATGACTCTTCAAGGCTCTCTTCTCAATCTTGACTCCTCTTCGCTTCCTCCGGCTGCTCGGCGCAGCTGCGCACGGCGCAGTCGCGCTGCCGACCGCGCTGCCGCAGCCTGTCGGTCCGAAGAGTCCAGTAGTTCAGGAACGGCAAATGGGGGGGTTTCCGAAAATGGGGGTACCCATTTTTGGGGTCCCTTTAAGGGTACCCCCTATTTTGGGGGAATCACCCGAATAGACTTCCCAAGCGATTCATGAGTGCTGATGTTGGCAACGCCCGCCCTGCCAAGCTGGAGATGCCCCAGCCCACCCCCCGACAACCAACCCTGACGTATGAAAAAGACAATATCCCGCTCGGGCAAGCTCCTCAGCTGAGATTTGTGTGGAGTTTGTGGTGGAGTGCTTTGGAATTTGCATTCGAGGGACTATACAACACTTTGAGACTGCTCAGGCCAACACAAAAAAAAGGATTTTGCCAGAACTCCAGGAGCAAATAGTAGAAACCACGGAAGATTCTATTTGCTTTGGCGTTGGCTTGATTGCGTTGCTTTGATTTGTCTTTGTTGTATTCTAGCTAGTATTTAAGTCTATACTTTAGTTGATTCTTTTAAATTTGCTGAACTGTCCTTGCGTTTGTGCCTTTAACTGTTCTTCCGTTTAAGCTTATGTAATTGCTTATACACATGCACTACGTGTCCTCTGCTTTTACCTTGCTCTCCTTGTTACAGCAAGAGGAGGCCTCTGCAACCATCGCCTCGGACTCTGCGGTCGAGGCTGCCTCCTGTCTCAGTCCAGAATCTTGGCACCGCAGCTCGGGGCTCAGAGATTTTTGGACTCTTCAGCCCTAAACTCCCTAAACTCCCTAAACTCCCTAAACTCCCTAAACTCCCTAAACCCTAAGCTCGGGATCCGAGCTCACTGGCAGGAGGGCCTTCAATGGGACTGCAAAATTTGCATGCATCCGATCGCCTCTGCTGTCTCGGTCTCTGCCAAGAAGGAGATCGCCTGAGATTCCAAGAAGTACTGGTCTGCACAGGTGTGGACAGGAGGTGCAACACTGGATTAGCAAAGGCCCGAGATATCCAGGCTGCGAGGCAAAGGCAGGCCTTGCCCCTAAGGATGGGGAATCTGGGAACTCTCTAACTTCACCTTGTCACATCGAAATTGGCTGGCAAAGCATCTGCTGGATGAGGACCTGAGCCCCAATCGCACGTCTTGACATGCTGCAGCTGGCCCATTTTGTGCTTGAAGGTTGCAACTACCACATGGTACACAGAGCTCCCTATATATGCCTTCGAAGCCACTGGTGCCTGCCGAAGAGCTGCTGGCAAGCTTGTTGGCAGCGGCTGGCGGTGCAATCGTTGGGCACGGTTGACTTTCGCATGGTTTGTCTTCGGTAAATACGCTCCAATATGGCGGTTTCCCGAATTAAGGGTACCTTGTTGGGGCCCTTATTATGTGGGAATACTATGTGGGGGACTGTATTGGGGGGTCCATTATTTTCGTAAACTCCAATATGCTCCAATCATGGAGTGCTACTGTAACCTGGCCTGCAGATGCTTGGCGTGCGCCGGAAGGTTGGACTGCAGTCTGCGTCTATGCCAACCTTGGATGCAAGTCAGCGTCTGCGATCTAGGCATGAGCAGCTTTTCCTGGAAGTAATGAAGATAAAGCTTTCCCGACATGGGCTTCTCAATCCTGGACATTGCGATGCGATGCAGAATCTGTCCGAAGGGCGTTGCACTGGAACCATTTGGTACATCGCTGCCATCATCTGCCTCGTCGTCGTCGCCTGACTGCATGCCGAGCAGAAAATGACAGAGCCCGATGGCAGCTCCAATGAATGTCCCAAAACAACCTGACATCTCATAGATCAGTGAGGTAGGACTAGGACTGCAGTCAGTTATGCTGCCTTCGTCCTCCTCCTCTTCGACCGTCGCATTTGCTTCACCGATGCTTGAAGCTGTAGTTTTCGTATCTGCCGCCACTGATGCCGGGGCCAAAGCAAAAGCGACCTGCAATGCATTCGAGCAAGTATGAAAGAGTCAAATGCAACCACACCAAGCTTTCTCCAATCTGGCCTCTGACAGGCCAACGGCAAGAAGCAACCTCAAGGCGGAAACCCATCACGACATTGCCACCCCTGCCTCGGCCTAGACACTGAGCTGAAAATCAAAGCAAGGCTACTTCGACTGCTGCCCCAAGGCCCCTGCAGCCAGCATGCTGCCGGAGACTTCATTGGGCACTCGCAAGTGCTCCCGGGCAGGGGCTCTTGAGCCCAAGCTTGTCGCATCGGCTGCACTACAGGGCATGGTCGATGCTCCGCCATTGATGTTTGTCACGAATGAGAAGATGGCAGGGGTTGCCAGGAGAGGGGACTTCAGGGTCTGGACTCGTGGGTCGCGGGGGGGGGGGGGGGAAGCGGGGGACCGCGTTCAACAAATGCGGTGCTGTCAAAAGTACAACAGTTGAGATGGCCTGGCTCAGCCCCGATGAGTTCTGCACACTGCCTCAGCCGGTCTGCGCGTCAACGGGTCTTCCTAAAAGAGCGCCTTTGAAATCTTTGAACCATTGGGGCGCCTCCTTGCAGTTTCCACCGCCTTCTTGGCCTCCGCGACACGTTGGGCCGGGACATGCCGGGACGTCTCTGAAAGAAACTCACAGCACCAGAAAGGGCAGTGACAGGACACAATGCACACTAGTTTGCTTATCCTGGGGCCTGAATGCCATAAAAGTGGGAAGACGATGGATTTCCCCAGTGCGTACTCCTGCGCAAGAAAGAATGACCAATGGTTCAACGACTGAAGAAGGCCAGCAATAACGCTAACCAACGAACACATGTTGTGAACACCATGTATTGCCACCCCTCTACGAAATACCATGGCTCTACCACCAAGCCCCAGGCATCATCGTGCTCATCGCGGCGCATACCTCCTTGTCGATTGGAGTCGTGCCTGAACGGCTGCTCTGTGGCGATATCCACGCTCTGGCATCGTTACGGGACATCGTCCGGGCTGATGCAAATTCTGGCTTCCGAGCGAATCGCAACTCGAAAAGCTGCTGGAAACAAGCGTTCTGGTTGCGAACCGACAAGCATCAACTTGGTGCCGAGCCATTGTAATCCAAGTATATTGGCCTCGGATCCGAGTCTAGGAAGTTCTCTTGTGCTGAGGCCGGCAGACCTGCCGAAAAGTTTTGAACTTGCTGTCGTGCTGTCTTTCCTGCTGCAAAGAAACACACTAAACACCACGGCATCCGGATGTTGGCCGGCAAAGGTTCAACGGAAGCTGCTTCTACGATCAATGACAATCAATGGCGCGAATCTGCTAAAGAAGTCAAGCTGGGCTTTCTGGCGGTGCTCTCGCGCCATCGACCGCGGGCCTTCGTGGCAAAGGTCCAGTGTTCAGAGCACAGGTTCCACGATCAAAACCTTCCAGCACTGATGCCATCACTTCTACCAAATATCGCGTTGATTGGGTTTGGTTTGGGGTTTGCTCTTTGTTCACTCACCCTGCGCTTCCCGGATACTCGCAGGTCCATGGCCCTGGGTCTGAAAGCGAGCACCGCGCCACGACAGTAAGGCTCAGCAACGCAGTATGAATTGACAATGACAAACCACTTCAACCAGTGGTGGACAAAGCACATATTGACTTCAATGAAGCGCTGTGGCAGACGTCACAAAAGAATGTTCCTCAGCACCCGACGCCATTGGTGACAGACTGCGGGCGGTATCACGTAAGGTGATCAGCCATGGCAGGTCACGGCAAGCTTAATATCTACGCTGCCTAAGCTCAGCAAGTCGTGGTTTTGCTTGCCACGTTCGCTTGTCCTTGAGCTGCCTCTGGTTCTCGCATACGGTGTTTTTTTTCCATTTGGCTGCCCTAAAAATCTCAGCAACTGTTGCTTGAGCCAGATTGGGGGCTTCCTTGAGTTGGTTCTCTATCTGGGTGAGGCCCCGTGGAAAGTGAACACTCAGTAGTACCTGCCATGGGAAGCAGTGCCCTCCACAAATGCTTTACTGCCCGCGCGACGGGGTTCAGGTCAGTAGGCTGATTCTTTGCCGCCCTTCTGCTGAACCGGATTTCATCGCACATCAGAGTTCCCGCGTTGAAGCCTGGCGAGCATCAAAGTTAGACATCATTCTGAATCATTCTGCACTTGGGGGCCATCCACAAGCAGCATCGCGCAAAGCATGGTGCAACAGCAGATTATGCACAAAACAGCAAGCCAGACACGCTGTGTAGGCAGCACTATGATGCATGAATCATCTAGTCTGGACGAGTTCGCAATCGACACGCGTTTGTACTTGTAGCGACCTGTCTGAATTCGTTCTTGCATGCTTGTGCCGCCCTTTTGCCACTCCTGCCTTTCCCTTTCCTGACTTCTTGGGCACACCAGCTGCTCCTTTGCAGAGGACTCGACAGCTTACATTGCAGCGCTCTTATCGGCCTAAGGGATGCTAGCCAATTCATGGCATTCATCTCGGTAGAGACTCGAAAACATCATATGCCATTGTTACGCAGTGTTACGCTATGCTTGGTACATCTTCATACGGTCAGGGCCTTGCTCACTGCCTTCTTTCCGGAGCACCTGCAAGCAGGCGAGAAATTTGGGGAACCTCATGTATCTGCACTCGCAACAAGTCGCCGTGCGTGCTTGCCACGCATGTTGCGTGATATCCTGTCGTGCTGTGGCATGCGCTGTGCCACAGTCCACTGGTGCCTCTGCCTTGCGCTTCTGATCACATTTCGCCGTCGTTTTGCACACCTGCTTTACGTTCCGCTGAAAGGGCAGAGGTCGCTGTTGGAATTGAAAAAAGTTTCAGCGTCGGTGATTCTGGGTGCAGCCGCTGGCCACCAACTACCACTCTTTCTGCACCCGTGCTGCAGGAATCGGCAAGAACAAGAATTCCAAGACAGCCTCCTCTGCGATGAGCGTAAGGTTCTGCTCCTGATGCTTTATTGGGTTCGCACTCTGCGCACAGGCTTCACATGTTCTGCTGCATTCGGCATACAACTGAAGCGACGATACAACTGCAGCGTGCCCTCCCTGTACCACTGTAGCTTCGCTGTGCAATTGGGGTTCCTCGCGATGGAGGCTTCGGAGCCGACTGGCCTTGAAAAAGCAAGAGACATGGAATCGAGATGACATGGCACGAAGTATCGAGTCAGTTGCCACCTTGTGTCGCCTGGCCTTGCTCTGGAGCTACGAGAGGTTCGTGCACTTGTGACATAGTATTTTGGTTCTTTGGCTCGTGCACAGGAAAAGCATTGGAAGCAGCTGACTCGGCTGACGGATCTGGCACTTCAAGGCAACGGCCAGCTCCTCGGCTAAGGCGTCGGTGTGCCGAGACACGCTCTGTTCGCACGCCTGAGCTCGGCAGATCATGGTTGACCATGTCCAGAAACCAAGATTGGTCCAAGCTGCATAGAACAGCCCTTCCTTCCAAACCTGGCTGGCACAGGAGATGCTGGCAGCTCTCAGATCTGCAGAATGCTCGTTTGCCCAAGGATGAAAAGCATCTTGCTGACTGTAGGACTCAACACTCTCCATGTCGATCTTCCTGTTGTACAGCGTACATGCTGTTTGTTCACAGGCTGCGCGCAATGGTGCCTCGTATGTGTCGACAGCTTGCTGGCTTGGCGGATCGGGATTGTGCCACAAGCCTTTGCTGCTGCGGCAAGACACAGGCTCCCAGGCAACCTCTAGCTACAGTGCGGCAAACCCGAAGTCCTCAAAACCGCTGCAAGGGATGTTCCGGTGTCCTTTGCGGCCACGGCGTGCTCGTTTTTGTGTCATTTGGCAGACTGCCCTCTACGGCCGAGCGCTCACGGTTTGGGCTACTCGGCGCTGTCTCTGATATCTGAACAACTGAGCGGGACTGCAATGTGAACCAGCCAATCATCGGGACTGACTCGCCAGCAGCTCGAGGGGGTCAGGGTTCTTCTTCAGCGCGACGAACCGTAAATCTTTATGCGCTCGCGTTGGCTTCATAGGCTAGTATTCTGTGGTTGAAAGCGTGTGATCGTGTGCGGCTGTGGGACATCAAAGGATCGCCTCAGCTTAGGAACTTCGGAACTGCATATGAACCAACATCCCATTCTGCTACTTATTGTACCATGGCACTAGGATACTTCTCCGCGAGCCGTAAGATGTACGAACCTTGCAACAATGCCCTGCGTTCCAACAACCTCCAAAACCAAGACAACCTAGCCCGTGCTACAACTGAAATCAACTGAATCGTCCCAGCAACACGGCGAGGTGTCATTTTTGTAGTCTGGGGCCACCTGATACACCAGCTGACAACAAACGAGCCTTGTCGCCATCTGACGCCCTAGTTTGGGCAGAACGCTGCCAGCACATGCAGGCACGCGGTAACATACACAAATTACATAAAACGTCATGAAGACGTCGTGGCATCTCCTTCTGATCGAGCTGCCTCGCGGCATGACCGGAGCATGTAGCCTTGAGCAACAAGCTCGTCCTGGCAAAGCAACTTCGTGCATGCTATTTGCGGCACATGGAGCAAGCAATCAGGCTCCTTCCTATACGAGTACCATACCATAACAGGTCGAGCCATAACCCAGAAATCTGCCGAGGCCCTCGGGCCTCATTCAGGGGCTACCAACTATTCGTAAAGTGCCCTTACATAAGCCCACTTCTTGGTGAGCCCCTCTGCTCAAGGGACTCTGGACCCTTTTTGGGATCCCCTCTCGGGAACCTTTGGGGACCGGCCTCCCACTTGCGAGAATGAGAGCGCATACATGCGCATACCATACTACCATACATGTGTCGCGTGGGTCCGCGCGAGAAATATGACCGCCCTCCTTGAAGTGCTTGTTGCACCCGCGCTTGTGCTTCAGCATCTGGTCCTTGGATGGCCGTTTTTAACCCCCGACACGCCCGCGGTACTTTCTGCTGACACGACTCCTGCAATAAGCCTGCAGCTGAGATTCCGTGACAGGGTCACCTGTCCTTTCGTAGTCCACATTGCCTTCAAGAACATCGGCTATGTCGTCCTATCCACTGTCAAGTGGGCGGTGGTGCTCTCTCAACAGTATCACTAACCTGGAACGTAGACTTCGTAGATGTTGAACCTTGCGCAGGGCCTGGCTAACATCACTCCAGTCCTCGCTGAACGACCGAGCCCTTGCCAGCAATGATGCCACTATTTTGGCCTTGCTGGCTTGTGAATCAAAGTGCCCTGTTGCATGCTGAAACTGAGTGATGCGCACATACTACGCACCGCACCTCGCGACGTAACAGGCACGGATGCGCAACGGAGTTCAAACACTGCCTGCAACCTGCGGCAGACCTCCAACATTGCTTCTCATCAATCTGCGCCTCTTCTGCCACTTTCTGAGCATGTTGGAAATCCTCGTCGCTGGGCTTCTTGTGGAAGATGTGCTTGTATCGGAAGTACCTCACATAACAATCAAAGTCGGACCCACACCGCGCTTTGACATCTTGACATATCTGGACCCCGGTGGGCTTTAGAGGGCTCACTCGCCGGTCTGGCCTGCAGCAAAGCCTCAAAAATAGCAACAAAGCAGCAAGTGAAGCCGCTAAGCACACAACGCCTTCCTGGACTTTTGGGGCGCCTTGGCTTTCTGTGACCTCCAGCTTCCGCTCCTCGGCCCAAGGTGTAGCCCAAAGCCAGGCGAGAAGCGCCAGCCGAAGGCCCTCGGCCCCTCCCACCCCCCGTCACGTGTCTCATTTGCTGCTCTAATTCCTGAACTGCGCATACTGACATCCTGAAGAGACTCGCTTGATGCTAATGTCCGGCTGGGAATATCCACTTGCAGCTCCAACACTGGGGCTCCGTCCGGGACCGCGCAATCAGCCATGGAATTGCACGTCAGGAGGCTCACAGTCGCGCCGTTGGTTTGAGCGCGTCTAGTTCTAGCCAGATGGTTGGATGATGGGGATGCTTGGGGATGTTTAAAAAGCTCTAACTTCAGGATGTAGCAGGAGGGCCACTGTTACAAGCGCAGTGAGGGGAGAATGGCATGAGACTGTTTGCCCAAGTTTCGAGCAGACAGAGGCTTCGTGATTGTGTCTATGTGCTGTCCATGACTGCTGGTACAGCTGGGCCTGTCACTGTGCATCTGCAACAGTGGGCACGCTTCATGCTCGCTTTGAACTAAATTGTCTGCGCACGTATGGCGGCAGTCGTTCTTCATTTGGCATCCTAAAGGGGGAGATCTCTCTGTGGCCTACTCAATGGCTTGGGGCTCGTCGAGCACTTTACGACATTAATACGTCGATAACAGAGTCTGCGCCTCAGAGAGGTCTCCGCACTAAAGTTGGTGGCGCTCCAGGCCGACGAGAGGCACGGGCACAAGTCGTCCCAAGATCGACCAAAATGAGAAGAAGAATGGTATCACTGAGAGCAGCTTGGGGACGGTAGTTACAGCATGTCATATTACATGTGTTCCACGATGGCCAGTGCTCGCCAGCCCGGCAGACCAACATGTAGCATATCGAAATGTGACCCTAGCGACTGCATCCCGCCAGCATTTATGCAACTCTGTTCGTGGTGAGCTTATCATTCCAAGGCACGAACTGGGGATGGAAGTCATTTATCGTAGGTTCCCATTTTGCCGGCAGCAGAAAGGCACCACCATTTGACATGGCCTTTTGCACATGCGAGATGGTACCAAGACCTGGCCTCACCTGCGGCGCAGTTGTGACCCATGTTCTCCAGCAAAGCACCTGCAGCCGTAACAATTTCGAACTCCGAAAGCCCATTCACCCCAGCCTTGTGCCTCCTTAAAGCCTTTGGCTCCTGCTTAGGATGGTGCTGCACGGCGTGGCCAGGCTCACAGCGCGGTCCTGGAAACACAAGACTCTCTTCCACGAGGTTCATTCGCGCCTACGAAGTGCCGCGTGCCGGTCTTAGCAACAAGCAAGCATGCTTTGTGCTGGCTCCCTGCAAACAGTCGACTGAACAAACTTTGTATGTACCCTGCAGAAGAACTACCAGGCCACAGCGGCCTTTCCTTTTGACTAAACAATGGTCTTGTGCAAGGCAAGAGATGAATGTAACTTTCACTGGCTCTCAAAGACTTGCAGATGGGCGTGTGCGCTGCACGAGTGGGTTTCAATGCTGTAGGCGCGTATGGCGGGCTCTGGCACTGGATCATATCTCATAACACAACTAGGCAGTGGCTTCAAACCGTAAAGTCATCATCCCCTAAGTTTTACTTACAGGGGACGTCAAAAGTGCCGGAGGCGTTTTCTCTCCCCCAACCCCACTCCCTTCTCCAGACCTGCGACTTGCAAAGCTGCATGAGAACGTGCTGATCCGTTGACTTTTCTTGAGCTGGAATTATGCATGCTGCCCCCGTTCCAACGCAGCATCCGGAGTCGCGGGTCTTCCAGTCCCCAAATCATGTATTCCTCCCCAGTTTTGATTTGCCGCATTTGCCGCCTTGTCTTCCATGACGTGTTGAATTTGCTTCTCGCGTCCCTTCTCTCCACTGTCGAGTATCTGAAACTCGTGCAGATGCAGCGAAAATTCATCTTTCTACGGTTGAGATCCCCAAGCACCTCATAGACCGCTTGCCCTACAGGAGCAAAAACATCATCGCAATCCCAAGCTGCAGAAGCCTTGATCTTCCATAAGACACCGGAGCACGGGTGACCCATTTTGCATCTGCGCGAAGCCGGAAGTGAGGCTCAGAAAGTCTAAACCCCGTGGAATCAGCCTCCCAGCTGGGTGAGACAGGGGAAGTTGTACTTCGGATGCGTTTCGTCCGAAAAACCTGAGCCACAACAGAAGGGCGAACCCAAAACCCTAGGACTTAAGCCCTGAGCTGCTGCAGTTGCTACTTTACCGCTGATTTGTTAAAAAACATCCGTCCAGTTCAGGAGTTTCGGGTTTTCGGCTTCATGCGCCATGATATTCAGAACAGACACAGCAAGCTTCCACCCTTGTCACTGATGGCTCTCCATAAGGGGAGACCCTCTGCGAGCCTACCCCAGGAGCTGCCGATCAGGGGACCCGAATTGGGGACAGCTTCTAAATGGTGGCGATCTGCAGTCGCATCATCTAGCGTTTCTGGAAAAACAAAACTGGAGCAGACTTCTGCCATAGTACGTAAGGCATTGCAAACCCCCAGAAGCCGGAAAGAATTGCCAAGGGCCTTCGACATTCACGTTGCGAATGTGGCCAGGTGAGGGATGAGGTGCTCGTGGTGATTGAGCATCCTAAGTTGTAAGTAGCCACGCTACCACCAAGTACATGTACAGGCCTCCCCAGTACACTGCAAACAAAATCAAGAGCCATGCTGCAGGGATCAGAGACGCATCTGACGAACAAAAAACCGCTGTTTCGTTCCCAGAGGCGCAAAGTCTTCAGGTGTGTCGCCCCGCTCCTCCAACAGGTTATGTTCAAAAACACAATGCTTGCAGCCGCTTCATTGAGCAGGGCATGCAGAAATCTGATAAAATCTGTCAGGTAGCTGGAAGGTCGCACAATTTCATCGGAAACAAAGGTTGGCTCTGTGAAATTACCAGGCTGCAACCACTATCACTAGCTGCTAACTAGCTGACGACGAGGCTTCCCTTCGCACCTGAATCCACATTAATCCAAGTCTCGTTCGTTCGCATGTCGGCCCCATGTTCCAGCAGAATCTGGCACAAACTCTCGTCGCCTCAATGCTGCACACCCAGGCCTACACTTTCGTTGCGTCTTCTCGCTCTCGCTGAAAAGACTATGTGAAACTGAAGCTACTGGCAAGCACCGCAAGCTGCAGCGCGACGTGCAGTACATGCTAGAAAACCTGAAGATTCTATAGAATCCTGCAGCAACGCCTTGAACAGAAGCTGCAAGGATGTATCCCAAGTTGCCAGCCATCGCAGCAGCCCCCAGTGGCGTCATGCCACGAATGCTGGACAACATCCTGGAGGAAACTCTATTGACTCTATTTTCATTTTCTCGAAGTCCAGAGTCATCAGCAGTGGACACTTCGATTTCTGATTTCTAACCCCTGTCCTTGCAACATAGGGACTTCTCTCAATTCCAGCCAAGGACACCAGAATCTGGGCAAAGCGGCACTCCAGGTTAAAAAGGCCTGAGCAGATCACCAAGATGCATCTGGAGTGTTCAGCCCAATTGAACTCTCTGCACCTTCACAACGACTTCCACGTTTCCCAGCAACTTGGGTTTGTAACACTGTGGCTGCAAAGTTGCAACTCAGTGGCCTGCAGGCTCGGCCCGGGCATTCACATCCGCACGATGTTGTATCAGCAGTCTCGCGATCTCGTTGGCAAAGCGGTTTCCCCGGGAGAAAAGAGCACAGGCGTGCAACGGAGTGTAACCTGCACTCAAACACGAGGGACCCAGCATGACCCAGCCAGCAAAGCCACTGAACCACAAAACAGAGAGGGAGCTGCAAGCGTTGCATTTTCGAAACGGACAGGCCGAGTCAGGCACGATCGAGCGTGATTGGAGGACTCTAGATACAAGGGGCGGAAACCGGTATAACGTACGCCATTCCCCGGGCTTGGAAATTGCTGCCATACGCCGATTTGGAGTCACTGCTGTACTGGGCCTTGATTGCCTCAGTCCTGCTCCGATCGCCCCCGGAGTTCCTGTGGCCGGTGTATCGGTGCAGATCGGTGTGTTAATGTGTACCTGAAACGCGTTCTCGTCCGAGCTCTCCCTCCCCCCCCCCGCTCTCCCCGCGGCATACGCCGATACGCCGATGCGCCGCTAAGCCGATATGCCGATTCCCTTCCCTTCCGCCCTCACCTCCTTTCCTCTTTCACAGACACGCCGGTCTACCGGTGTATCGGTGTATCGGTGCATCGGAGCGGCGTATCGATGCCTCAGTGTATTTCAGCTTCCCCCAGCCTCGATCGCGATGAGATCCTGGGCCCCTTGGACTTCCGATTCAACCCCGCCGGGCCGCCGGTCCATTTATTCAGTCTCCCCCAGGCCCGCTATTGAGGGAGGTCAGAGGTCAGCCTCTACTTTGTCTTTAACAGGGCCGAGTAAGGTCTCCCAAGCCCCTGCAGTCTCCTCCAGCCCCTGCAGTCTCTAATTAGTTTCATGAAAGCTCCAGCCCCTGCAGCTCTGTTTAGGGCTTAAAACACTGCAGCCTTCAACAAACGCTCAAAGCTTAAGCCTTCACGCATTGCTCGGATGCCGACTTCTCTCTAAAAAGAACTTCTGCCGTATGATTCTGTCATGATTTAGTTGAGGGGGAAGATAAATCTGAAGTGGACAGCACTGCCGATCGTCCCATCCAGCACGGGTAGTAAGGTCCACAGGGGCCCCGGTTCTTTTCAAAGGACAGAAGGATTACTGACGGTTTCCCCCGGGTTCGAACAGCATCTACCCTATACCCAAGAGCCCAAGACCATAACCTTTCAAATCGACACCGGAGGCAAGACAGCTCAACTCGGCAGGTCCAAGGGCTTCGAGGTCAGAGTTTAGGGCTTGAACTATAGGGTTTCATAGTTACCCTTCATCAATTCATATCCAACCGCACAAGACAGGAAATAGGACAGAAATGCGTTTGAGCGGCCCGCATATCGATTTTCGTTCCTTATTCTGCCTTCACCCCCCCCCCCCCCCACGTCCGAAAACTATATTTCGAGTGACGTCCCCCCCACATTAGGGGGGGGGGGGGGGGGCGATATATGATGGTGGCTGCTCTGCAGACTGTGGGCTTGATGTGCAGAGTCATGAATGGAGCTGATCTGGCTTTCTCATGTGATATTGCCCAACTGTAGGGACAGAACCTCGTTGGCAGGTCGCCACCTCAAGCACCATGCACTTACTATCTTTGCACAATCAAATTACCAACTGGTGATGGCTACACCCGCCAAATCTAGATCATGGAAGGCATGTGTGCTTCACAAGCATTTGAAGCCTTCGCCCTGGCTGTTGATGTTTGCCCGGGCTGCAAGGATCGTCTGGACTGTGCCTGGGGTTTTGCTCTGGGATACACTGGGCAGAGCAGGACCCAACGAATGGTCTGCCCACTGAATCATTATTGAGGCGTTGCCGGGCATAACTCCGCACACAAAATCAGATCGAGCGACTGGGGTCCGCGAACGCACATGCCCCATGCACCTCGAAAGACGTGTTGACGTCCATCCGAGCCTGGCCGAGAGTAGTCCAAGTGGCATGCAAGGAGTCAAATGGCAACGTCACCAAGCCACTACAAGTACAATCGTGAGCTGGATAGAGGAGCAACCAACCACACGTGACATTTCTCGGTGGGTATGACCCGTATGATCCCATGAGCACCTCGAGCAAGGCCCGCACTTGTCCAGGAGATCTGGCAAGATAGGCGCAGTTGATGCCTCGGCTGCGAGCAGCGACGTGCTTCAGCCATGACCATGCTGAATCAACCTGACACCCCCCGCAATTCTGATTCTAGAGAAACCCTTCGTTGTTGTCGGTCCCGGCTAATCGCCCCATCTGTACTAAGGCCCATCCGGTTGTACTATGCTGCACTGTAGCAGCTGAGATCTTCAACGTGTCTTGAGAGCTAGGGAACCTCAACTCGCAATGCCACGCCCTCCTTCCTATTTCCTCCTAGCCCGGTCAGCAGCTGAGGTCAATGTTAGGAAGCCTAGACACACATGAACCCGAACCCCTCAGATCCGCCAAGGACAAAAAGGGTCAATAGCAGAACTCAAGCGTCCACTTCGCGAAACGGCAAAGGGGTCCGCGCGCAGCTGGATGAGCGTGGAAAGCCTTGGTCACAAACCAGTCTTTCCAGCTCATGCACCATGAGGCGCTCTCGACCCCTGACCTCGGCATACCTTGGCCTGCCCCTGCCACAGATTTTCGGTACCCAGGCCGTGAGCTTGCT